CTTCAATTGCTTAGAAAAGGTAATTAGCTGGGATACCAGGAGAGAGCTTTGGCCTGTGAAAGTGACTAGGGAGCAATTGACTAGGGGGCCTTCTAAGGTCAGGGACCCTACTGAGCTGGGGTTTCCTGTGTTTGCCTTATCTGGTATTGTCAAATTGGAATGTAGATCTTTTGGGAAGAAATCTTTTCATGATTTGATTTTTTGGGTTTAAGGAATGTTGGCCCTTCCTGCTAGGTCTTTAGTTATTTAATTTTGGGCTAGGGTGGCAGACTCTTGATTCTTTCTGTTACGTCTTAACCTTTTTAAGTGAGCCCATTCTCATTATAATTTAACCATATGCTTTGATTGCTGTTTAACATAGACAATGGTAGGGTGAGACAAATGGGAAGCTTTGACTTCCTGCTGACATGGGGGGGGGGGGAGAATTTGATTTCCTTCTCACAGTTACAATGTACATTTGCTCTTTCTCACACATGCACATCCACACTTACTCATGTCCTTCTCAACTAGGCTGCCAGGCACTAGCTAGAGGGATGGAAGCCACCAAGTCTGGATCCAAAGATGACTCAAAGATAACTCAAGGAGTAGGTGGGCTTCAGGACCCCTTTTATCCCCCAAAGTCCTTGCATTGTTGATTCACAAGACTGACAGCTACTCTTGTCTTGTTAATTTACAAGTCTGGTAGCTGTTGATGGGATTGGGGAGAGGTTTCCATGTGCTGAGGCCCAACTTCCTTTGTCTGGTTCAGGTGACATTTTTTCCTTTGTTTCCTTAACGACCTTTTTCCTTCTTATCTATCTTCTGAAAGGAGTTTTTAGATAAGATTCTTGGCTTTTTGTCCTCTCTGCTTACATGCCTGCTTCATCTTTTAGTCATGGAAGCTTCAGCCTAGTCTCACAGTGGGAGTCATACAGATCTCTGGGGGGATGCTATTCTAGAGGGCAGGAGGACCCAACAGAGAAGGCATACTTCCCAGGTTCCAATAGATGACACTGTTTAATTGAAGGGACCTGGAATGCACCCATTCTGCCATTTTACAAGCTAAAACTTGGAAATAGGCAGTCCCTCAGATAGGTAACACCCAGCTCCTTGAATTGCACCCAGAAATTAACTGGCAACCAATGCAACTAGTGAAGCAGTAGTGACATGTGGGCATACTGTAGTACCTCCATGACTGCCTGCACTGTCACATTCTGGACCATCTGTAGCTTCCAAGTAGACTTTAAGGGCAGCCCATGTAGAGTATATTGCAGTACACGTAGTATGAGGTGAATAGGGCATTAGTGACTGAAGGGCCATGCAGTCTAGGAATGGGCACAACTGACGTACCAAATGGATTTGTATGAAGGCCCTCCTGTCTGTAGCTGCCACCTGCTCTTTGAGGAGGAGCTGTGAGTCCTGAATGACCCACAGATTGCACACCAATCTCAAGTGGGGAAGTGCAACCCTATCTAAGACCAAAGATGGAAAATCCTCATATCCAGGGGGCCCAAATAACAATAACCAAACTTGGCAGTTCTGAGCTTAAACCTGTTCTTTTCCATTGAGACCTGAACAGCTTTCAGATGAAACATATTAAAAACATGGGATAATTACAAAGTTCACATTAAGAAAATTATTTTCACTTTCTTCCCCTGCCTATCTATTCTATCCAGGAAGATCCAGAAATACCCTTCACAGAAGAAGACTATCGTAGAAGGAAGCCTCATCTTAATTTTATGGAACACATCAATGCTGAAAAAACCATTATCAAACTTGGGAAAACAGTAAGTATTAACACAAAAAAACTTGCATTATATTTCCTCACTCTTACATATTTAGCCAGTTTTTTTTAAATTCATTGTGCAGAGGTTAATAACCAGGTGCCACAATGGAAGAAGCTGAGGCATGGAAGTAACACACTAGAATCAGCTTGAATAATAAATGCATTTTTCATCCCTCTCCCATAAAGTGCCAAGGATTCTATCGCCTGTTGAGGCTCTTTCTGTTTCTTTCACTTAGATAAGAATAAATGCTATAAATATTTCATCTTCTCTAAGTAGATCAAAGGTCCAAACTTTACAGTACCATGATCCCCTAAAATCGTAAATGAGTGTGACCTCCATGAATAAAACTATTGATTTCACTAGGATTAGGGTTAGACAATAAATGAATATATATCTTTTAATAATTACATTTTACTCTATATATCACAATGGTTCCCAAACTTTCTGGTACTAGAACTATCCACTCACCCTCGTGTATGCAGTTTCTCAAAGTGGTACTTGCCAAGTGCAAGGCAGGAGTGCTGTTCAAAGGATTTAATTTTGCGAGCCCCCTCTAAGTGATTCACAACTCCCTGCAAGGTTGTGACCAACAATTTGAGAGCACCTAAAGAAGATGAAGAATCCCCCCGCCCCCCAAAAAAATACTGTGCAGGAAAAGCAGCTTCCTTTCATTGGCTAACATGAATAGAGGCTGTTGAAAATAAAGGAATTGTCAGGAAATAAACATGATTGGAGATACCTATTGAAAAGTCTGGTTGTTCTGAAGATTAGCCTGAGAATTAGCCCTTGCTTAGCAGATTCTACTTGCCTACTAAATTTAATATTTTAAATAACATCTAAATAGGGCTTCTCTCTTTTTTTCTTCCCTGCCCAGTTACTTCTCTTTGTTTTATCTCCATCCAATCTCCATCCTGATTTATCCTCTTCTACTTTGATATATGGATTGTTATAGTAGAAATGAATTCAATTAAGTTTCTAAAGTATTTTGAATAGAGACATTCTTTTTATCTTTTTCCTCAGAACAAAAGCAAATTTGGCACATATGTTGTTGCTTCAGGTGTTCAGTATGGAGCAGAAGAAAGACTTCTCCACTACTTTTTTAAGGTAATGTATTACAAAATTAATATTGTATAATTTATCCACAAAGAGTATATTGAATACATTCATTTATTATTTCTATAGAAATGGAAACTGAATTAGATGGAGGGTTGATTTGATCCTGGAAGACAATTCTTATGTATATATTTATTTTATTTATACTCCACCTTTATTTTATCAGCTCAAGGCAGCGTATATAATGCTCTCTATTTTTCTGATAGCAACCATCCTGTGAGGTGGGTTGAGCTGAAAGAGAATAATTTGCCTAAAATCACCCAGCTGGTTTCGGTGTCTACAGGAACCCTAGAACTCAGTCTGTTAATTTCTAGTTCAGTGCTTTGACTACTACACCACACTAGCTCTAGTAAATCAAATGGCCTTAGGTTTTTTTTATAAATTTAGGTGAGCCACCTGTTTTTGATTCAGAAAGTTGTGTACTGATTGGATCATTCACTAAAGCACTATTGGTGGTATGCAAAATTCAGCTTGCTTTGGTCTTCAGTGTTAGGTATATGCCTAGCCTAGCACCTAGGAGATAGAGAAGAACACACACTATTGCCTTTTCCTATGGCAAAAGTTGAAGCAACTGCAGTAGAACTCAAAAGGCTTAATGCAGATTTCAGCTGTACAGTGGAACCTCGGGTTACGAACTTAATTCGTTCCGTGACTCTGGTCGCACCCCGAATTGGTCGCAGCCCGAAGCAAATCTCCCCATAAGGTTCAATGTAATTACCGTTAATCCATCCTGGCATGGAGGACAGGGAGGTGGCTATTGCTTGGAGGGAGAGTCCCCCCCCACGACCACGTGTCAGGGGCGGAAAATGGCCGCGGACCACGTGTCGGGCGGAAAATGGCCGCGGACCACGTGTCGGGCGGAAAAATGGCCACGGACCACATGTCAGGGGCGGAAAAATGGCCACGGGCCACGTGTTGGGCAGAAAAATGGCCACAGACCACATGTCGGGCGGAAAAATGGCCACGGACCACATGGGCGGAAAAATGGCCGTGGACCACGTGTCGGGCGGAAAATGGCCGCGGACCACGTGTCGGGCGGAAAAATGGCCGCGGACCACATGTCGGGCGGAAAAATGGCCGTGGACCACGTGTCGGGCGG